AGACAGAGGACTCCATTTATCTCCAACTTTGATGAAGGGAAGTTTCAGTGCTTGGGAAGTGTAAGGGTTTCCCTGGAGGGCATATCTTTGAAGTGCATTTACACGACCAGAGAGAGGCGTCTAAACATGTGTCCATTCCGGAGACCGTATCTTTCTGCTCAAAGCTCCGAATTGACTGATCTCGGATGTTCTGGAAAGAAGACTCAAATGGATCTGGTTCTCATGAAGGACCCGGAAACTAAATCGGCCTGGAAGTGCACCGTCCTTCGCATCCTTTAGGACTGATCTGCTCGGTCCGGAATACCTGCGAGACTGGGGTTCCTTCCGACAAGCTTATCTCTCTGCTCACGCGTCCGAATTCCACGATTCCACTTGCTAAGAGACCGTGATGCAATGCTCTCCAACTTCTATGAAGCACCCGCCGTCTGAATCGGACCGGAAGGCTCCCCGGACAGGCGATTTCTGAGACACGTTCATACCCGGAGATTTTGGCCGATACACTTCATTCGCGGTACATGAAAATGGCCGGTAAAGCTTCCCGCGGTACATGGAAATGGCCGGTAAAACCTTCCTGGCCAGCGAGAATGGCCGATAATCTCCCAGGACCCAATGTTTCCACTTTTTCAAGCTTTGCTCACCATTCCACCTTCTGGATTCATCTTTTCAGCTCCACATTCACCTGATAGACACTCAAAACATGCAATAGACTGATTGGGACCTAATGCATCTCCTAAGTTCTAAAAAAACCCTAAGGACCTAAAATGCATGAAATAAAACATGATTTGGAATGATTTATGCAACCTAAATGATGCAAATTATGAACATATCACACGCCTCCTACAACAACTTTTCGAAAAGCCCCTAGAGTGCTCTCGGGCTTGCCCAAGAGTCTAAAGAGCAAGGGTGCGGTTTACGAGGCCAAAATTTTGAGTTTTAGACCCTCTTCCGGGCGTTTTTCTAAAACATAAGCCTCGGTTTTAGTGTCGTCAAACGTGGTGTCCTAACTTATATATCTTGGAACGAATGCTCGTCGCAGCTGGGCGGGAAAATCCATATAAACAGTGCAACACACGCGAAGAGATTTTATTGCGGACTCAAAGCCAAAGGATATATGCTAATGCAATACATATACTGATGGGTGCGATTATACCAGCACTAGTGCACTGAATCCCATCAGAACTCCGCAGCTAAGCGTGCTTGGGCGAGAGTAGTACTAGGATGGGTGACCTCCCGGGAAGTCCTCGTGCTGCACCTTTTTTTGTTCCTCTTGATTTTTTTGTTTTTATTTTTTTTTTGGTCTTTTCATTTGAAAAACAAGGCATCTTCCGAAGGACGCTATTTCTAGACCGTGTGGAACCAGGCCTCCTACAACAACTTTTCGGAAAGCCCCTAAGGGACACTCAGGCTTGCCCAATAATCTAAAGACAAACGGTGCGGATTACGAGGCCGAAATTTTAAGTTTAAAACCCTTTTCCGGGCGTTTTTTTAAAACAAAAGCTCGGTTTTAGTGTCGTCAAACGTGGTGTCCTAACTTATATATCTAGGGGGGGAAGCTCGGCGAACCTGGGCGGGAAAGCCCATATAGGAGGCAACAAACGCGGAAATTAACCTTGCGGAGTTAAAGCCAAGAGATATCAGCAATGGTAAAACATATACTGGTAGGAGGGATTATATCATGACAAAGGCACGGAAACCCCTCCCAACCCCCGTGGTTAAACAATGTTTGGACAAAATTTAATACTAGGATGGGTTGACTTCCCGGGGAAGTCTCTTTTTTTCACCCCCTTTTTTGTCCACCTAGAGTCAAAGGTAATTTTTTTTTTTGCTT